ATAGATACATAAATTTGAATCGAATTTTTCTTCCTTTATTTGCATTCAATGCTTGTATTCGATCTTGAGTGGAGAGGAAATTGTGAATAGAAAAATTAAATTGCGAGTATTTATATAAAAAGATATAAGTTTTTATTTTGATATCGATATATGTATATATATATATATATAATCGATATCGTGTAAAGAACAGGAATATATACTATTCGGGATGTAGATAATTTAATTGAATTAGCAAGATTTTGCTTATTTATATATTCTCCGATTTTCATGTTACGCATAATATTTCGAAAGTAAGTATTAATCATGAAACGAATTATAAAGGATAGGCATGAATACTTTCAAATACGCCTTAATTCTGGCAATGAGTTTGCGAAGGCTGGCAGTCATTTATCGTGTGTGGTGTTGTCATCAACGTGAATAATATTCGAATAGAGTGGATATTTGTTTTAGACAAAGATACAAGACGATCAGAATTTCCAACGATCTTCCTGCAATATAATTCTAAGTCTTGTACAATAATATTTCGAACGATATAAAACTATTATTATTTGCTATAGTTACTTTTATTTTCATTTCTAAAATATTTGAAGAAGATAGCAATCGTCGTACTTAATCATATTACTCCTTTGGAACGCGAGTTGGCTGACCACTAACTGCATCTAATCTACTTAATATATTTGCTAAGCGCTATATAGAAATAGAAACTTATTTTTTTCTCTCTCTCTCTCTCTCTGTCGTTTTATTTATTAGAGAAACATAGCGAAATAAAAAAAAAAAAAAAAAAGAAAAAGAATCCAAAATATCACGTTCCACGATATCCATTATCTCTCTACTACTTAAGATAAATATTATTCGTACAATCTAAAAATAATCTTAGGCAGAATCTGTTTTCACGATGAAAGAATTTTCAACGAATATTCGATTTAATGAACAAGATAAATATAAGAAAGCTGCATTCCTTGGTGTCCATTTCTCCGTTGAACGACGATATAGGTTTCCTTGATGGGCGCGCATCGTCCGCTAATCGCAATAAAAATCTCAATTAGATACGTACAACCGCGTCGCGGAGCATATAAAACGTTCGCGCGCTCGCATCAGAAAAAGATATTTCACGTCGTAAAACGGTTGTCGTGGTAATTAAGTAGGTGGCGCAATCCGGTAAAACGACGATATTCACGTGCAATATTACAGCACGGAAATAGCGGAGCCTCCATTTAGTAAGTGGAACAGGAAACGCCGATTCTTCCCGGGTTCGGGAAATCGGTTCAATGGAAAATTTGTGCATTTTAACGAGTGTAATAAAACGAAATGTATTCTCTACGATACGAACAAATCCCTCTCCAACCAGCGTTACGAGATCGAGTCCAGCGGCGATTCAAAATTCTTAATCGAAAAACCAATTGAATATTCCTCCTCCTCCTCCTCCTCCTCTTCTTCTTCTTCTTACGACGTTCTTGCGTGACCGTTCCACCGCCATCACGCGAGAAAAAGAAAACACCATTAGCGTAAAAAAAAAAAAAAAAAAAAAAAAGAAAAAGAAAATAAAGTCGGCCCGCTCTTTCACTCGAAGGGAACCCGCGTGTATGCGCGTCTCGAGTGCGGCGTTCAGCGCTCTGAATCGGGATAATGTTCGCAAAACGGTTCGAGGACCGCATTTTGGGTGAGGGGGGGAGGCGTGCAGGTAATGCCCCCCTCCCCCGAGGAAAAAGCGCATCGCTTGTGTGTTTTGTGGCCTTCGATAAAAAGGGTGCATCCACGAAGTGGACGACGAACCTTGGTTCCCTTGGTTGGTGCACGTGCACGAGAGACGTACGAGGAGGAGGAGGAGGAGGAGGAGAACGTGCATAGAGGTACGTACATAGAGAGAAAGAGAGAGAAAGAGAGAGAGAGAGGGCAAAACGTGTACCATCGCGCGCGAGATTCGCCAATATTTCCAGGAAATATGTGTGCGCGTTTTCGTAGCACACGCGTGTGTACGTGCCCGTTCTGTTTAGCGTGACGGTGGGGATGGTAAGGGGCGCAAGTCAAGGGTGCATTGGTGCGGAGGACGAGCAGCAGCTAAGAGAAGAGGGGGGAATGGGTTTTGCGGAGGACATGAAAGGGATGCGCGCCGACGCCATTCTCGTCCATTCCTCTCGCCGCGGTGGAGGAACAGCGAGGGTGGCACGAGGAGGGGGAGGATGGGCGCTCTACGATCTCCTCCAACATAGAACGAGCGGTACATACGAAGGGGGTGGGGGAGGTGTATGTACCTGTGCGTGCGCGATGGAGACGAGACAGGATATTCTATCTGACACGACGAAGGCAAATGCAACCTGGAGAGGGAGAGGGGATGGAACGAGACTCGGCTGAAACTGAGCGGCGGCGGCGGCGGCGAGAGAACCAAGGAACCCCTCTCTCGCCGAGCTTCGCTTCCTCTCACGCACGTAGGCTTTGAGCTCGAGGATTTCGTGGACGCGGATTTGAATTGTGGATTTCGGGGGATAGATGTGGGAAAATTGGTAGATTTCTTTTTTTTTTTTTTTTTTTTATTTCGATTGGATTCGTGAGAAGAAGGGGAGGACTCGAGAAATTGAAATCGGCGAAATCGAGATTTTGGATTTTTGTCGAAGTTGGCCGATTTTGGGTGATTTCGTTTTTTCGAACTGCTCGTCTGGAAGAAGTTGATATCTAAAGTAGATCAATCTTCTACGTTATTGTATTTTATTCAACGTCTCAAGAAATACTAGAATAGAATCTTAATTTTAGAATAAATTGATCTAATTTATTAATTGTATAACTTATTGGAATTCTGTGTATTATGCAAGAGATTGCAGTTCCTCGACATTCTAAATAATTCGAAGATTAAATTAATATCCGACTTCAAACCTCGAATATCTAATTGATTATCGATCGATTCTTCGAAGTTAATCAACAATACACACCGATGATATAAATTAACTGCAAAAATTATTGACAAATAACAACGACGAATTCTAAAAAAAAAAAAAAATAAATAAAAATCACAGTGGCGTACGTGAATTATTACACGTACAGCGTACGACGAAGGCATAATTGGTAAAATAAACGAGAGATTATAAAATTTTCTCTACGATTGAGAAATATTTTTCAAAGAGAATTGACAAATGAGCGCGAAACGGAGCAATGGCGCGAACCGCGCACCTGCAGAGATTTCTACCTGACCGAGCTGCAGGAGTTGGCGCCGGGCGGAGGTGGAAGAAGCGATCCAGGGATGTGGGCGGACAGCTCGGCGACAACAATAAGCATTGTGATTTGCGCGGGTGTGCCTCGCCTCCCATTGGTCGGCTTCCAACCACCTCCACGTCCCCGTCGTAGACCCGTCGCCGGCGGCCGGGGGTTGTGCCGCGACCGCCGCCTCCGTCCGAAACAATAGACAATGCGCAGCACACCGCACCTGATCCGACGGGATTCGACCGCCAGTCGAATCACCGCGCTCTCATTCGCCGCCCCACGGATCATCGAAGGGGATAGCCGATTGATAGCTGGTTCCACCGATTCGTATCTAACAGTGGAAATCCTGGACAAGTTGTTGGGAAATTTATTTTCAATATTAACGTATAATGTGTGTATCCGCATATTTATTTTATTTATATATATATTATATATTAGTTGATTTACGTCGAGATCGATTGGATATTTCGTAAAAAGTAAAATGGGCAATATCCGTTCGCTTCGTGTCCCCGCGAAAACGAAAAATTCGAAATTAAATATCAATCTCTCATACTAATTAGAGACATCTGAAATGGTCAGGCGAAACGTATACACTGCAGCCGCGTGTTAGAATTCGTAAATCACAAACTTCCAGCCAACTACAACAATATCCATCAACGTGGAATAAGTAATCAGTCTGACTAAACTCCCGTTAAAAGGCACGCGTTACATCGTCAACCTTCGGTATCCTCGCGCGTCACGTGACTCAGCTCCTCGTTCTCCGCGAAAGCTCTGAAAGGGACGGGTGGAAGACGACGAGGGAAAGAAATAAAGCGAAAAAAAGGAAATAATAAAAAAAAGGCGGAAAAAGCAACATCCAACGCGACAGTACACGATGCTGCCCATCCACTACCACTACCATTACTACCACTACTACTGCTACTACTACTACTACTACTACGCCCAACTCGACGACCGTGTCCTCGAAAAGGGGCGGAGGGGATCTTCTCGTTACGCGGCCTAGGTAAGGACAACGGGCAACAAGGTTGGAGGGGGTGGATATCGGCGGGCGTGCACAGGTGAACGGAGCGAGATCGTGGCGGAAACGCGACGACAACGGCGCAACACGAAGACGACGAAGACCGCGACAACGACGACCGAAAGCGTACGTCGACGACAGAAGGCAGAAACGAAGGCGTAGACGAGGACGAGGACGAGGACGCGAGCGAGGACGACGACGACGACGACGACGACGACGACGACGACGACGACGACGACGACGACGACGACGACGACGACGACGACGACGACGACGACGACGACGACGCGGTGGTGGTGGCCCTGGCAGTGTCGAGCAGAGCGCGCGCGTTCGCGTGGGTGTCGGAGGAAGAGGGCGGGTCGTACGGCCCGTAAAGGGGCGTGGCGGCCGGGAGAACCCGCCGCCGCCGCCACCGCCGCGGCGGCCGCGCGCCGCGCACCGCCGCTGAGCGACCGAGACGCGGAACGAAGAACCGGCGGAACGACAGAGAGAGGGAGAAGCGGGCAGAGCGAGAGGCCGGGAACGCGCATCCCGTGCATTGGACGGAGACGGAACGGTACACGTCGACGAGCGATCGTGAGTAGCGCGCGTGGAAGAAGGAAGGGGCAGCCGGCTCCGCGAGCGAGCGCGACGAGGAGGAAGCGAGGCGGTTAACAAAAGCAAAAGGAAGAGGGAAGGAGCGCGGGAGACCGAGAGAAAAGACTAGCACAGCTCGAACAGTAGCGGGGAGGCGAGAGTGGGTTAGCGCGGGCGCCGAAGCGGCGCGGAGTGGCGCGGCGCGCCGCACCGGCCGCCACCAGAGGCAGCGCCTCCGAATCTCATCCCGTTCGGTCCTCGGGGGCTTCAGTCAGTCAGCCGACGCTCCGAGACGCGGTGATTATTCCCATTGTATGCCCGCTGCTCGAGGGGGGGTTTTCTTCCACCACTGACTCTCGCTCGCCTCCTCTCTCTCTCTCGCACGCTCGCCCTCGCGGCCTACTGCTGCTACCGCTACTACGGCTACTGCTACCGCTGCTGCTCGTGGTTGCCTACATCGTCGTGTCCGCGTCGTCCTCGTCGTCGTCGTCGTCGACGCGTTCTCGCGCGTTCGCGATAGTGTCGTAACCGCGATTACGGAGCGTCGGTGTTTTCGATCGTCGAAACTTGATCGATACGCGTCGACAGAAATCGTTCCTTATTTCTTTCTTTTTCTTCTTTTTTTCTCGTCCTTTCTTCTTCCTCTTCCTCTTCCTCTTTCTGTTCCTCCTCTTCGTCTTCTACGGCCGGAAGATCGGAGGATCCCGGCGCACACGGAACAACTGGATTTCCAATCGTGCGTGGTGTGTGCGCGCGCGCGCGCGCTCCCTCCGGAGCTACATCGATCTTCCTGTCTTCCTGTGAGTGAGATCGGTGACCAACGTCGCGACGGAACATCCGCCGCAGGACCGTGGACCATGACGTGAACCTGGTTGGGTTGGGACCAGCCGGTGTACACGATTCTTCCAAGACATCTAGTGTTCCACGTATACATACACGTATATATATATATATATTGTTCACGATTGTGTAGATCGAGTGAAACGTAACAACGTCCGCCGAATTTCGTTGCATCGAGTGTTCCTTGGAACGGTGGATCCGCGCCACGTCCGACACGCTCGCATCTCAAGCCTCGGATCGTTGCTTCTCGTTCAAGTGCCGGTTCTGTGCGGGGGTGTCAAATATACATATAATATATATCTCGTAATTACGTGACAAGTGCCACGAGGAAGTCGAAGTTCGGGGTAGTCGAGGCTACCAGCGCGCGAGCAGGATGATATGAGCACGCTTGGCAGGTGAGTGAGACGAGCACGTGACCGACGACGATACCGGTGCGACAGTGTTCGTTACTACTACTACTACTACTCTCTCCTCACTGTCACCTCAGTTTCTCCTCTCGAATCGACGACGAATTCCAAACAAACGCGTGCCCCCCCCGTGTCCGTAAACGCTCGATATATTCCCCCTCCTCTCTCCTTCGAAGTTTCCCTTCGATTTTGATTAAAAATTCGAACGAATCGAAACGTGGATCCAAACTTGAGCCGCACCGTCGTAAACGCCACGGTAACGTAATCTGTGCAACGCTCGAGCGATAACGTCAGCGCGTGTTCGCGTGTGTAGGTGCGTGCGTGCGTGTTCCGCGGCTGCCAGACAGCCCGTGTGCACACGCATGGGGCCATGTGTTCCCGGCGAAAGAGAAGGAGATCTCACGCAAGAGAGAGTGACAGATCTCGGGGAAAGAGAGAGAATGAACGAGGCGCGAGGGAGAGAATCGGAAGGAGGGTGGCAGAGAAAGAGAGGGAAGCATTGCAACGCGTCTGACCCAGTGACCCTCCCTTGGTGCGTTTCTCTCTCTCTCTCTCTCTCTCTCGTCGTACCGCAGCCGTACCCTCTACCCTCTTCCTCGAGTTTCCATTTACCAACCGTCTCTTTCCCCGTATCTCCGTCGTGTATCCTAAACTTCGACCCTCTTCCCTCTTCCCCTCTCGAAAATCTCGAACGGAGATTTCGTCTTTCCTCCAGAGCCACTTGACGGTTCCTCTCGCCGATCCTCTCTCGTTCTCTTCCACTCGCGTCTCCGCTGCGCCACTTGTCCAGAGAGGGTAAAGGAGGACGGAAAATTTTCCTGGGAAACAAAGTCGTTCTCTCGAGTCTGTGGAACGTGACCGGATTACGGTTATCCACCCTCCTGGCCCTGGGGGTTGAGAACGGTTTCTTTTGCATGGGAAAGAAACGGTCCCGAGACGGCCTCCTCGTAGACGGGGGGAGGGTGACAGATATGCCCCAAACGTGATTGGAAAAGCGAGGGATTCGAGGTTGGTTTTCTATGTTTATAATCGGCGAGGCATCGAAGGGGGAAGGTTCGTTTCAATTTTCCATCTTTTCGGTCGGTGGATAGGCGGGTTGTAAAATAGGTAGGCTCGAGATCGAAAGTGCTGAAAACGCGCAACACGAGCGTCGACATCAAAGGGTGAAGTCGGTGGTTTGCATAAACAGCTAAACCGGAACCGTGAGGGGTCGCCGATGGGACAGGGATAAATCTTTCATCGTGTCCTTAATTAAAATCGGCGTAATGGTATTTTTATCGTAGACTCATTTGGGACGAGTTTGCGCTCGAGTTTTCGTGAAATACATAGCGATGATTCGAAACCATTTTTTTTCTTTTTTCTTTTTTTTTTTTTTTGAACCGTTTCACTGTCTCGTTGTCTTTGATGCTTTCGATATTTTAACTACCCCCTTCGAGTACTCGATTTATTATTGAAATTATTCTTAGGATCTTGTAGTTTCGATATCTCATAGTATTATCTTTAACGCATTCAATGTGATAATCATCTTACGATCAGAGAAAAAAATTTTGAAGTATCATCGTTTGAATCGTGGAATTACTCATCGAGGCAATTTTTTTTTAAATTTTATCGTTTCCTACGAATAATTATCCTCGATATTCCATAATTTATATCTCATAGTGTTATCTTTAACGCGTTCAATGTGATAATCATCTTACGATTAGAGAAGAAAATTTTGAAGTATTATCTATTTCTATCGTGGAATTACTCATCGAGGCAATTTTAAAATTTTTAAAATTTTTAAATCATTTTCCACGAATAATTATTTCCTCAATATTCCTCAATAATTTATTTATTTTTATTTTATACCTATTATTCCGTATTTTAAAATTATCCATCCGTATCGATAAAATTGCATAATAAAAATTATCTTCAAGCTTCCATACTTTGCTTTTCTGCAAAATATCGTCTGGGCAACGAGACGTCTCTACGAAATTCTACAAAAACTCTCTAGCATTGAATTTCACGTTTCAAGAGTCGCGAGTTGGATTAACTATCTCCCGAAATAAAACGCTGCTGTCAACGTTACATTGTCTCACCGAGCTCACAATGCCCGCTCTTGTTCTTACATGCAGCCAAATTCCGAGAATTAAACAGCATCCATCTTCCAGAAGTCCGCGGCTGTGTTGTTTCACGTGGAATGATATCAGAATAGAGATGGCCAAAGCGTGTTTCGCTCGCGTGCGTACTTTGGGCCACGCACAATGTGAGGAGGGAAGGAAAGTTTTCGAGTGCTCGAGGAACAACAGAGATTCGAAAATAGAAATTCCAGAAGAATAAAAAGGAAACGGGCCGTTATTCGATGGCTCGTGAAATAATTATTTTCGTGTCATTAACCCTTTCTGTCCAGACCAGACAATTCGTCGGATTTTCTTCGCCGCGTGAGAGAATTTGCCTGTTAAAATGTTTCCTTCGTCTTAGGGGATAGATAGAAGGGATGAAGAAGCTATTTTAACGAGATCGTACATGTATTACACGTTGGTCAAAAGAGAAAGTGGAAACAAAGGAAGAGAATGTGGAATTATCGAAGACTTTTTCTTGTTCCGATTGAATACTACTCGTTGCGTCTGCTTATAGAGTTGTTGCTTCCTAAATTTTTATATCGAAAATAAATATAAAAATTCAAAGAAGATGAAATTAAATAGAATTCTAGTTATAAATGGAATTCATCGATCGAGAAATTTATTTATGTAAAGACAATGAGTGATCAAAAGTGATCTCAATGATAGAATAGACTCCATTTTACGGGAAGTGAAAATAAATGGAGAGTTTGATAGAAAAGTTTGAAAGTTTGACAGAAATTTATATTATATATAAAAAATATATATATATATATATGAGATTAATCTTGTTTATTTTATTCGTGAAAATTTGAAGATCACTTTTGATTTTTGTATTCGATTATTAAAACGGATAATTTTATTTGCGGATATTTTTATACGTGGCTTGTAAATGAAATTCATATTACGTATATATCATTCGTGATTAATGAATTTTTTTCTGATGCTACTGGAACGACAATGGTGGAAATTTATGCGTAAGAACAGAACATTTTCGTGGATTAGTCGACGTGATACATACTACGAGTCGTTTTGAAAGTCAAAACTGAGTTGAATAATTACTCGGATAAAAACTTATCTTCTATAAAAATAGCTACACCAACAAGCTATTAACACTCACAAATATTTATGAAACTCGACGGTTCTAAATTCACTGTCGCACTGTCGGATTCCTTTAATCCATTTTTCGTGAGCCGAAGCAATGAAACGATATAACAAAATTAATCCCAATTCAAAATTAACTCATTAACATCAAAATAGTTTCGCACTAAACTTCACGCGATATTCCCCTCTTTCTATGCGGAGAGTCATCCACTTTATATATCCCCTCGCTGTAATACCTTCTAATCGCAAAACGAAATAAACCTCTCTCCCCCTCTCCCTCTCAAAGAGGTTCTAAATATCCCCACAAATCCTCTCCCCGAAATTCCTCGATACGAATTTCATTATATCGATCTACGTCTTCCCAATCAATTACACGACCCGTTTCCGCGTTAAATTCCGCTACCAAGAATAATCCGCGGATTCTAGATGCGTGTTGCCATGGCCATACTCCATGGTTCACGCCAAAAATACCTCGATAATCTCGAGAGGAGATAGGATGATAATTAACAGCGGACGCATGGTGTCGACATTCGTGCATACACATTGTTGCATTTACGTATCGTTGCGTAATTGGGATCCATCGATATCGGCGACCGAGCCGAAAATAGCGAAATCCAATCGAATTTTCTCCGATTCTATTCTACATCTATTCCATTGTTGTCCATTGTTCTCCACGACAGTATAGATTTTATCGATACTCGGCAAAAGAGAGCCGAAAGGATATCGGTTTAATAAATTCCTGAAAGCGACTCTTTGCTTCCAAGAGGTCCAAATAAAAATGAATTGGGTCAACAATTGGTTCCTGTTGTTGCCCCGTTAAATTCATACTCGAAGAGATGCTCTCGTAATTATAAGCAAGAACTAAGTTGAAATCGTGAAAGAAAGAAGAAAGGATTATTCTTTTTCTTGCTCGTCGATTTTTCGTAGATTCCTCCCTAGGAGCGAGGATCGAACAGTGACGTTATCCGTTTTTCGATTCTTCATTCTTCCTCTTCTGTTACGTTCACGCCAAAAAAAAGTAGAAAAAAAGGAAGGAAGAAAGAAAAAAAAGATGACACAAAAAAGAACAAAGAGTGATGAGAAAAAAGTAGAGACAGAGAAAGAGGGAGAGAAAGAGAAAGAGAGAAAAGAAAGAACAGAAACGTTTTCTTTACGTAACAAGCCGCGTTCGTGGCAAGTGCGTTCGTCCCTACATTTTTCCGCGTCGTTCATCGGAGTAAAAAGGCGGGAAAAAACTCGAATGGAAGAGATCGAATGACTGCACAGAGGCAGACTTTGTTATCGAAACGTTTCTATATTTTCCATCCATATTCATCGACCGCCTTTACATTTCCACGATCTCTCCGCTCCCGGCGCATAATAAATGCCCCGCGTTGCATGGATTACAGTATCTGGGCCTGTAGCCTCTCGCCGTGTATTATGCCCTGATCAATAACCGAGAAACGAGATACATACCTGTGCAGGCAAGCACACGAGCTTTTGCTGGTAAATAATATGATAATAATAACGATCGTTGAAAACCGCGTCTCTAATCGGCCGCGTACATAAATATTGTAATGGCGCCCGTCTTTCAGCCTGCCGCTTTCTGAACACGTGAATGCGTGCGTGTGCGTTGTTGCGATGATAATTGAAAAAAAAAAAATGATAAATAGTATTATTTAGTAAATAATATGGTAATAATGATCATTAGAATCGTATAATAATCGTGTAATGTTTTAATGACGTCCGTTTTGCTTTTTCTTCTTGTTTTATTTTTAAAGTTAAATCGATCAAATGAATTAAATT